AAACACCAGTTGCAAGATTGTTTTAATTCTTTCCCTGAGCTTCTCACAGCTTTTCCCAGAACAATGCCTGGCAAAGTGATCTGTTTCTCTCTCTGACTAAACTTCATTTCCACAGGTCCCCCTTTTTGTTTAAAGGAGGAGGCAGCATCTGTAATGCCCTGCAGGGCTCCTTGCAGGGAAAACAAGCACAGCTCAAGAGGTCGCTTTAGCAATGTGCTGGCTGTTAATCTGAACCTCAATCAGACACTGATTTAGAACGCTCAGAGAGATTTCCAATTTTCAAATTCTTTACAATCAAGCCTTGTTTTTTCCTGTAAAAAAACCTTATTAATTCCAAGGCAGCAACAGGCATTTTTAGTCTGCTCAATGTGTCTAACTTGTCACCAACACTTTTCCAGAAACGTCAGCAGCTGCTTTCTTCTCTGTGTGCAAACCTGAGCTGATGTACAGCCAGCAGCTGCACCAGCACCAGAACGTGCTGGAGAGTGGCTGGGGCAGGAAAAATGTGTTTTCACCCTGTTCTCCCTGCAGGTGGCCATTGCCATAGAAGAAGTCAGTCGCTGCCACCTGAGGTTCACCTTCCGCCACCGCTCGTCCCAGGAATGTGAGTGCCAGGAGGGGACACCTGCAGGACTGCTGTGAACTTGAATTTCTGTATAGCCACAGTGTTTCTTCCTGCCCAGTTTACTTATTCCCAGTTTTGTGGCAAGCAAAAAAAACAAAACTCATTCAGATTTTTTGCACCCAAAGTTAGGTGCTGGTTTTTGTCCTGAAACTGAAATTTGATAAGGAGCAGCAGTTTATCCCCTCGAAAGACAATTATCTATGTTTGTTATTGATTTGGTTTCTCAGTGTAGGGTGTTGCTTTTAATTTATTCCCCAAAATTCACTGCAAGGCCTGGTGGGCTTCTAATGATGTTCCTATAGAAAGATTGCTAATTAGGCTAATGAAAGGCTAATGAGAGAGTGAGAGCCAGAAGTTCCATCAGATCACTTCAGAGCCCTGAAAAGAAATCAATAATGTGAGGCTCAGCCATTGAAAGGAAGGCAGTGACATCATTCCATATCCACAGCTCACAAACCAAAATCCCAACCAAAAATATCTATAAAATTCTGTATCAGAGGATCATTGAATTTTTAAGGTTAGAAAAAGCCTGGAAGATCAAGGATTCCAACCATTAATCTGTCCATCTATCAGCACAAAACCCACTGAAATTGTGTGTGGGAGATGCTCCAGGAGGATGTGTTTGTGTAGCTGCAGTTGCCTATGAAATACAGCTGCTGCTGAGGTTAGAGGGCTGCATTTTGGGTTGTGTGGGCATGAATAAGACAATTCCTAATGAAGATTTCTCCATTTTGCAGCCAGGGATAGATCTGAGAGAGCTTTTGGCATGGGCTTTGTGAAGCTGATGAATGCAGATGGAACGACGCTGCAGGATGGCAAACACAATTTGATTATTTACAAGGTAACCTGGGCATTTCCAGCCTTGTCTGTGTTAAATTCATCAAAATGCTCTCCTGGCTGATTTTCCAAGCTATAGAAAGGTACACTGTGTGTGTGTGGGGTGGGAAATCCTCTTGAACTCTGTGGCTTTGGAAATAACTCAGTTCATTTGCAGTATGAGCAACTTATCCCTGAAATTCAGAACTCAAGCAATGACAGAGATGAAAAAACATTTCAAACCCATTCTGGCTGCCACTGTGGGACATGACCCTTCTCCTTGCTGTGTCCAACCAACAGGGTGACAACAAGAAAATGGAAGATGCCAGGAGTTATTTGACTCTTCCTTGCACCAAAACGGAGGTGGAGGAGAAGGAGGCTCCCTCAGGGAAAAACCTGCACCCTCTGGCCAACTTCACCCCCACCAAGGACAGCACAAAGGACAGCTTCCAGATCGCCACTGTCATCTGCTCCACCAAACTCACCCAGAATGGTAGGGGCTCTGCAATACACAGGGCATTTTTAAATTCAGGCAGGTTTCTGTGTGTGCCCAGAGAGCTTTTCAGCTTTTGTTTTTCTTCTCGTGTGTCAGTGGCAGCCCTGTCCCATCAAGCTGCCAGAACAAGCTCCCAGAATGTTTGTGCAGCCCCTAGAAACACCTTTCACACAAATATTCCATCCAGACTGCCAGTGTTGAACCCAACAAGTTTGTTGGCACGTGGAAATGTCACCTGTCAGTGACAGTGTCTGTGTTTTATCAGAATGTTAAACATTTAAGGTTAATTGCCTTCTTTCCTCTGGCTGTTAAGAGAGCAGCAGTTAGGGCTGAGCTCTCCAGGGTGGTGGTGTGCATTAACTCTGCTGTGCTGCCAGAGGGGTCAGAATGAGGAGCAGTGTGTGACTGAGTCCAGCCTGTGCTGGTAAATGATGGGAGACTTCCAGCAGCAGCTCTGGAAGGCTCCTGCACTGAGTTGTGCACTTCAATGAAATTCCTGGCTTGAGGTACCTGCTCTTAAAAAAACCTGCAGAATGGTCTCAAGCGTGTTATCAGATGGCAGCCAGGTTTCCATTTATAGCAGAGCTTTGCTGTTTTGCCAAGACAAGAGAAGCACCTCAAGGTAACGTTCTGTACCTCAGGGTGATTGTTCTTTGTGCACTGACTAAAAATATCCCCCAGCCTTGCTGTGGGCTGCTCTGCAGCAGGAATTGCTGATGGCTGCTTTGTGTCCTTGCAGTTGACCTGCTGGGTTTGCTGAACTGGCGCTCCAACGCCCACAACATCGCCCACAACCTCAGGAAGCTCATGGAGGTGGAAGGAGGAGAAATTGTGAAGGTATCCCCAGGGATCTGAGCCTCCTTGGTGCACACACTGTCGTGTGTCAGCCTGGTGTTGGACCCAAAAGGTGTCTGGGCAGGCTGGGAGGGCAGGTCTGAGTGCTGAGGAATGGGAGAATCATCAAATCATGGGATGGTTTGGCTTGGAAGGGACCTGAAAATCAGATTTTTCCACCCCCTGCCATGGGCAGGGTCACCTTTCACCGTCCCAGCTTGCTCCAGCCTGGCCTTGGACATCTGGACACCAGGGATGGGGTAGCCACAGCTTCTCTGGGACCCTCTGCTCCACCCCTCATTAGGGGAATTTACCAGAATTACACAAGTTGAATATTAGAGGGATCAGGGAGAGAGCGTTGAATTTATTTTCCCCTTTATCCTTATGAAATAAGAGACACATCCAAAGCCTAACATTTAATTTTCAACTCCTCTGTGAATGAGGAGGGGCTTGCTGTGAATCTGGGAGCAGAGAGAGCCCAGAGATCTCACAGAACAGGAGATGGGGAGTGGGCAGTGGACCTGATATGGGGGGAATTCCCACAGCAAATGGTGTGCTGAAGGATTTAGGAGGAAGGATCTCACCTGTGCTGGGATTTTGCAAGGTGATGGTTTTGTGGAGCAGCTGAACACGGGGTTGATGTGTCACTGTGTCACTGCAGACTGGCTGAGGGCAGTGTCCTGCCTCGGGACAGGGCGGGCTGCTCCGGAGAGGTCAGGATTTTTATCCTGTGGGATGAAAAGGGAATAGAACAGCAAAGGTGGGACCTTTTAGAGCTGAGAAGAAAAGATTTTCCTTCCTATAGAGATGATCATGACAATCATGTGCATGAACACAGGGCTGAGATCCCTTTTTAGATGTTTTCTCGTGGACAGGTTTTACAGTTCAGCCAGGCTGGAAGGGGAGGAATGATCCAGCTCATACTCCTGTGCAGGATGCCAGAAGCAGTTGCCTTTCCCCACCCTTTTACTGTTCCTTTTCCCCTCTAGTTTTTGCCAGACACCCTCGATGCACTTTTCAACATCATGATGGAAATGTCAGAAAATGAAACCTATGATTTCCTGGTGTTTGATGCGCTGGTGAGTGAACCCTCGATGGCTGCAGAGTTTGTTTTCAGCCACATTTCCAGTCTGTTCCGGGTAATTCCAGTGAACAGTTGGTATTTTGCTCTAGAAATAAATGATATTTAAACACTTTTTAAGGCTTTTTCAGGAGCCAGGACTGAAATGTACATCAGGTTTTTAGTACCCATAGTTAAAAGAGTAATAAATTGCACACACACAGTATTTAGTGACTGTTACAACATGAATAACCCTCTCTGTAGCATTGATGCTGTTGATAAAACAAAAATTACAACCCAGCAAAATAAATGGAATTAGAGACTGTTCTATTCAAGTTAGTGTGCAGCTCTGTGGATCTGTTTCCTTCTGGATTTTTTGGCAGGTATTTATTATTTCTTTGATTGGAGACATCAAGTTCCAGCATTTCAACACTGTGCTTGAGACTTACATTTACAAACACTTCAGTGCAACCCTGGCCTACGTGTGAGTATTGGTCCCAAAGCTCGGGTGCCACCCAGCAGTGTGACTGGGGGCTTTGGGGATGACATCAGCTCCTGGTGATGTATTTGATGAGGTCATTTTGGATGATGTTAATGTGATAAAGGCAGCAGAGAGCAGAATTCCATCCCTTCTCTGCATTCAGGAGAAAAAGAATCCTTCTTAGTGCACTTTTTACCCTCTAAAAAATTCCGTTGTGAAGTTTTTTTCTGGCAAAGCAGACAGAAAAGACACTTCTGTCGTGGATCTTGGCTTTCCAGCCCCTTGATCAAGCACCCCTTAGCCAAAAGTCATCACCCTTGTGGTGACAGAAGTAAAAAGTTCAAACTGAGGGCAAAACCAGAAACCAAACTGCTTTTCCTCTTTAAAAATCTCCTGTTAATTTTTATTGATCTGCATGAATTGGCTGCCACCCTAAAGGAGGAAACACAGCTTGAAGTCCTCTTCTCCTGCCCATCCACGTTTCCTTTTCTCCTCCTGCTCCACACGTGGGAATTCTCTCACAGGAGAAAGCCTCGGTCCCTTCCCCTGGGAGCGGGGTTTGCATCCTCCTGGACAGGTCCTTTCAGGGCAAAAGAAAAGCAGAGCAAGAGGGTGGAATCTGTGACCTTTTAGCCCGAGGTTTGGGAAGGAAATGGGCAGTGAGGAGGAGCCCTGTGGTGTTTTTGTGCCTGCAGTTCCTCTCTGGGGCGAGGCAGCTGAACCTGCACAGGAGCTGAACCGTGCCCGAATCGCTTCCCCTTTTTGTGTTTTTATTTCCAAAGGAAACTCACCAAAGTCCTGAACTGCTACGTGGGGAACGCTGAGGACTCCAGCAAGACAGAGCTGCTCTTTGCAGCCCTGAAGGCCCTGAAATACCTGTTCAGGTTCATCGTGCAGTCACGGGTCTTGTACCTGAGGTGGGTCCAGCCCTTCCATCCCTGCGCCTCCTCTGGGAAACCACTGGGGTTCCTTCCAGTAAATACCACTACAACAGATATTCTTCACCAAATCCTCCATCACTGACTGATTGAGAGGATCTTTCTGCCCTTCGTTAGTGGCTGGAACAAATGAGTTGAGCAAAAATTAAAGTACTAGATTAGAAGGGAGAAAAACCTCTTAGTTCCCCCTAACGTGCAATAAGCAGCACATGGTAGAGCTGAAAAGGAACCCAGTATTTATTTTATAAAGTAAAATATGGAATTTCCTCCTCATTTTCAGAAACTTTAAGAAACTCATAGATACTTCAATCATTAGGTGAGGTGGGAGATGACACATTTCTCCAATCAAAGTAGTTTAATTGCAGCTTCAAAAACATCCTTCCAGAGATTCACAGTGAGGGTTTGAAACTCTTTATTCATGTCCATTATGGATTTTTTTCCTGTTTAATACTTGGAACTCAAGCAGAATTTGCTGCAGTAGCAGCCTGAAAAGTGCAGTTTTCCCTGCAAAATGTCCAATTCCATTTTTACCCCCGTGTCTTTGTGGAAGGAGATGGCATTAAGATGTTGTTCCACGGGATGAAATCCTGTTTCAGCTGCTGGATTTCCGTGTGTAACTGGCCCTGTTCTTTGCAGTGTTTATGGGAAGAGTGAGGATGGGAATGAATTCAATGATGCAATTCGCCAGCTGTTCCTCTCCTTCAATGTCCTCATGGACCGGCCCCTGGAGGAGGCTGTCAAGATCAAGGTGAGCATCATTTCCAGGAAAAAGTAAAAATCTTTAATTAGATCAACTGGTGCAGCTGGGAAGGGGCTGGGCCAGAAAAAAGAATGAGAGAATTATCCATGAATCACTTCTCCTGCACTTTTCCCACTCTGCACTGCAGATCTGGAGTGGCTGGAGGCTCTTTGAATACATAAATTTGATTTTAAACCTGTTCTCTGCAGTTGTCCTTATATTTACTTTTGACAAAAACTGGATTTCCCACGTGTGTTTCATGTCCTTGGTTTCTTTCTTTTTTCAGGGGGCAGCTTTAAAATATTTGCCCAGCATCATAAATGATGTCAAGCTGGTATTTGACCCTGTTGAGCTCAGGTAACTATTAAGTTTGTTTGTCCTCTAAACCCATCTGATCTGGTGGGAAGAGTTTTGGAGCTTTGGCTAAAAAGAGCCACTCTGGTTATGATCTGATGGCGCAGATCCTGTGCATGGACTCGAGGAAGTGCTTGCAGGGCTTTACAGGATGTTAGTGGAGTTCAAAGGATTCTCTGCATCCCAGTTTTTCATTCTGAGAGTGCCCAAGCCCAGGCTGGATGGGCTTGGAGCCACCTGGGGCAGTGAGAGGTGTCCCTGCCCATGGCAGGGTGGAGCTGGGTGATTTTAGTGCCCCTTGATGCCCAAATCATTCCAGGATTCTGGGATCCTAACAGGCACCTCGAGATTTTACTGAAAAGCAAAATCTGAGGGCAGTGAAGTGTTGAAACCTCATGCAAGTTTCCACCAGCTCTTGGTGAATGCTCTTGGAAAGTGTGGCAAAGGCCAAGCTTTGGCTGGGAACCCAAAAGTTGTTTTTATCCGGGAAATTCTCAGCCCTGTGGATTCCTGGTGCTCAGAGCTTTGCCCAGCCCTGCCTCCTTGCCCTGACACAAGTGATTTGCTGGGCAGCAGCAGAGAGGCAGCAAATGTCCCTGGAATTGAATTAAGGGAATCTGGAGTTGGAGATGAAAGGGGCATCTGGAAGGAGGCTGTGCCTTTGCTGTTGTGGATGTTCCAAATTTCACCAGCGGGCTGCTGAGTCGGTTCAAATGAATCTTTCCAAACTCTTGCTTTCCCTGGGTGTGACAGCCAGTGGGATTTACCTGTGTGGCACTGCAGGGTGAGAGAGAGGCCATGATTTATGTCTGGAATAAGATTTAAGCTACTCCAGTCTAGACCTCAGGTCTGGGCCTTGTGAGGCCTCCAAGCCTGGGACACAGTTAGAAATTAAATTAAGAGTTTGTGGCACAGTTAGAAATTAAGAGTTTGTGGCACAGTTAGAAATTAAGAGTTTGTGGCACAGTTAGAAATTGTATTAAGGTGTGATGGGAAGCACTGGGCTGTCTGGGTGTGAAGCAGCACAGGTTTATAGTGTGAGGTTTAGGCCACCTTAAGACAAAGACAAACAATGTTGGCTTGCCAATGAGAGTGCCTTTGTAAACTGTAAACTAAATAGAAGTGTATAAAAACTGCCATCTTCTCTCGAATAAAGGGAGAACGTTTGATTAACCATATTGGTTTAACGGGTGTTTGTCCTGTCCAGTTTTCCTGTCTTATGAGGACCCTGGCTTTGGGAGGGCACAGAGCAGTGCCTGTTTTAGGGTTTGGGATGTACCTGGCGTGTCCTAGAATAAAAGCACCATTTAAAGGGTCCCAGGCCTTCCAGGGCAGCCAGAGGGAAGCCCTGGATTCCCACAAGCAGGCCCAAGCTTAATAACAAAGGAAAAAACTTTATTAAACTACTTCTACTATAAAAGGAAAAAAAAAAGAAAAACACACACCAACTCCAAAATGAAAACCTTCCAAAACATTCCTCCTCCCCTCTCCAATTCCAACAAACCATAGTGAGACACATTTGGACCCCCCAGTCAGGTTCCCACCCTTCAGATAATCAATACTCAGTCCATGGAGGGAGAGAGGAGTTTTTCCTGTGCCACAGACCCCCAAGAAGCACAGAAGAAGCACAGCTGCCACTTCTGGTGTGGCCCGGGTGCCTGGCAGTGTCTGTGTGGGATGGATGGGCTGGGAATGCTGACCCTCTGCTCCCTCTGTGCTGCACACAGTGTCCTCTTCAGCAAGTTCATCCAGAGCATCCCTGACAACCAGCTGGTCCGGCAGAAGCTGAACTGCCTGACCAAGATCGTGGAGAGTGACCTGTTCAAGCAGGCTGGTGAGTGGCACTTGGAAGGCTCTGGGTTCTGCCAGGGGCCACCCACCCTTCAAAACCCTTCCCCTGTCAGTCATCAGGGGCAATCCACCATTAAATCCAACTCAAAGCATTCCTTGCCGTGGAAGAACTGAGTTTTTTTGCTGTTCAGTCTTTATTCAGTGCCCAGTATGTGGGATCCTGATCCAGGGTGGTGATGTAGAAGGAGGGAGAAGCTGAGTGTGCTGTTTGGTGGAATATACAGAATTTATGAATGAAAGGACAGGGTTAGATGGGATATTGGGAAGGAATTCCTCCCTGTGAGGGTGGGCAGGGCCTGAGCTGCAATTCCCAGAGCTGGGGCTGCCCTGGATCCCTGGCAGTGCCCAAGGCCAGGCTGGAGCAGCCTGGGACAGTGGGAGGTGTCCCTGCCATGGCAGGTATGGGATGAGATTATCTTTTTGGTCCCTTCAACTCAACCCATTCTGGCATTCCATTATTCAAATTACAGATCATTTATGACTCTCTCCAGTCCTTTTTTTGTAACTCCAGTGGCTTTAAGCAAGTTCTGCTGTCCCAGATGGAATCAGGAGCAGGACCCTGCTGTGAGGTGCCCACAGCCAGGGCATGCTGAGGCTCTGCTCTGTCCCTGTGTCACTTTGCAGAGTGCAGAGATGCCCTCCTGCCCCTGCTCATCGATCAGCTGAGTGGGCAGCTGGATGACAACTCCAGCAAGCCCGACCACGAGGCCAGCTCCCAGCTCCTGAGCAGTGTCCTGGAGGTCCTGGACCGCAAAGATGTGGTGAGCACGAGCTCTCAGGGCTGCCAGTTCAGCTCAGTTCTTCTTTTGAGATGCTACAGGAAAGAAACATGCTCAACTTATGCTTTAATGAGCCAGAATTGTGATATTTATAGAAATTTTGTGATGCCTTGCTGTGCAGGTCTTTGTAGGAGCTCTGTCTGAAAAGGAGTCAGGAAAGGCTGAATTAGTTGTTATCACTACTAGAAACAATTACTTCCCTTTCTAGGGACCAAAATGTCATCTCAGCTGCTTTGGTGGCTTGTTCAGTAATTTGGAGCAAGTCAAAGAAATATTATATAGTATAAAAATGAGGGGGTTGCTCATTCTTTCTATTGTGGAATAAGGACAACAATCACTGTTCAGGCAGAAAGATGCACTTCCCACTCTGGCCATGGGAACTGTTCTGAGGGGCTGTGAACAGAGTGGTTTGAACTGCTCAGAGAAAAGATGTGGAAGCCTCAGGATGAGCTGATGAAGCTGGGACAGATCCATTAAGGGAATTCTCCACCAAGTGAATCCCAGAGCGTTTGAATCGATCGCTCGTGCGCTTAAATCTCCTTCTTCTTCTTCCCCTAATGGCAACTGAACGCTGCCAGGGCAGTCCTCCCACACAGGGAGCTGTGCAGGAAGGCTGTGCCTGAGCAATGGTCTCCAATGTCCCTTGCTGGCTGTCCCCAGGGTGCCACTGCTCTGCACGTGCAGCTGATGATGGAGCGGCTGCTGCGCCGGGTCAACCGCACGGTGATCGGGATGAGCCGCCAGTCCCCGCACATCGTGAGAGCCCTGCCCTGCCTCCCCAGCCCCCTGACACGGGTTCATACCCTGGGAGCCCTGCCCTGCCTCCCCAGCCCTCTGACACAGGGTTCATATCCTGGGAGCCTTTCCCTGCCTCCCCAGCCCTCTGACACGGGTTCATACCCTGGGAGCCTTTCCCTGCCTCCCCAGCCCTCTGACACGGGTTCATACCCTGGGAGCCCTGCCCTGCCTCCCCAGCCCTCTGACACAGGATTCATATCCTGGGAGCCCTGCCCTGCCTCCCCAGCCCCTCTGACACGGGTTCATATCCTGGGAGCCCTGCCCTGCCTCCCCAGCCCTCTGACACAGGGGTTCATACCCTGGGAGCCCTGCCCTGCCTCCCCAGCCCCCTGACAGTGGGGTTCATACCCTGGGAGCCCTGCCCTGCCTCCCCAGCCCTCTGACAGAGGGTTCATAGCCTGGGAGCCTTTCCCTGCCTCCCCAGCCCCTCTGACACAGGATTCATACCCTGGGAGCCCTGCCCTGCCTCCCCAGCCCTCTGACACAGGATTCATACCCTGGGAGCCCTGCCCTGCCTCCCCAGCCCCTCTGACAGTGGGGTTCATACCCTGGGAGCCCTTCCCCACCCCTGTGTCCCTTCCCCTGGGAGCCCTGCCCTGCCTCCCCAGCCCCTCTGACAGAGGGTTCATACCCTGGGAGCCTTTCCCTGCCTCCCCAGCCCCTCTGACACGGGTTCATACCCTGGGAGCCTTTCCCTGCCTCCCCAGCCCTCTGACAGAGGGTTCATACCCTGGGAGCCTTTCCCTGCCTCCCCAGCCCCTCTGACACAGGGTTCATACCCTGAGAACCCTTCTCTGCCTCCCTTCTTTCTCCAGCCCCTCTGACACAGGGCTTCACTCCCCTGGGAGCTCTCAGTGGGCAGCAGTGCCTGATGCACTCATCCCTCCTTGCCCTGCAGGGTTTCTCTGTCACCCAGCCATGGCTCCTGGTGTTTTTTCTGAGGATTAGGATTCAGGTTATCCCTCCCCAGTCTGAGCTGAGTCACTGAGTCGTTTCCTTTTGGCCCCTGTGCTCAGAATTCTGTGTCAGTGCAGCGCCTGACACAGGATCTTTGCTGCATTTTGTCACCTGGGCTCAAGAGGATGAAATGCTGGGGGATGAGACCATTCAGGGGCATTTCTGAGCCCTGTGTGGCAGCTGGGGTGTTAAAATTCACCCTGGAGCTCATCTATAGAAGGATGGGGAATCCAGGAGCTGGGGATTTACCTGATTTTTGATAAGTCTGGGGTCACTTTAATGTGCTACCCATAAGAATTGCAGCTGGCCCTGCTAAATCTGGAAATCTGAGTCAGCTTGGAAAAGACTTCTAATATCTGATGGAGTAGATCAATATATACAAAACAAAATTCTGTGTTTGAAGGATGTGTTTCTTTTGCAATCCATGGGGGGGAAAGAAAGCAATAGCCAGATTTCAAGCTTTAATTTTAGGAATTCTTGACTGGTTTAGAGATTGATGTTAGGACACAGATAAGAATATTCTGATCAGTGATACTTGACCAGGTCACACTGATGTGCCACACTTAGAAGTTCCAGTGCTTAACCCAGGCAAATAACCCAGTATTTTGTGGTTTTCCCATTCCAGGGTATTTTCGTGGCCTGCATGACAGCCATCCTGAGGCAGATGGATGATTTCCATTACAGCCATTACATCAACACCTTCAAAACCAGGCAGGACATCATTGTAAGTCAGCCTGGCTGGGGAATGACCTCAGCCCACCCAGCAGCACCTCTCTGCTCTGCAGGGTCATTTCTGGGCTGATTTTGGGGTGAGAAAACCCTCAGCAGTGGCTCCTGGGGCCACAATTTCTGGGAATTTATTCCTGTCACCCTTGCTGGGCATCGGGGGGATTGCTGACTCAGCAGAGCCCAAGAGCAGCATTTGTGGCATCGAGGAAAAACATTTTTGAATGGGTAAAGAAATGTTTGATTTGAGTCAGGAACCAGAAGAGGGAATGAAGATGGAAAAGAGAAACATTTCCCTTTATCCGGCGCTCCCTTTGTGCCCCTGTTCTCTTTATCTAATTCTTTCCCCTCCTCTGAAGTTTAATGAAATGCTTGAATCTTGCTTTAGTGCAGAAAGTTCTCAAAATGTTGAAAATTCACGTCCCCAAAAACTTCGGGTGTGAAATAAGGTGAAATACTACATTTCTGAGGGGTTTTTCTGCTTAAAATCAGCAGCTTTCCCCCCAAACTCACCTAAATTAATATTTTAGCAAGACTGGTACCCAACTGTTGGAGCTTTTTTGTCTCTGTATTCTTATTTTGAAATTGGGAAGTGGCTGTTTATTGAAATACCAGCTGGGGAAGGGCCTGGAGTTGTGTTCTTCCACAAAACCCACCAGAAGCTTTGGAATTCAGTTTTGGGAGCCAAGGTGATCCCTTTTTCCCCCTGTGCAGTTGGAAATACAGAATTTCACAGACAATCACTTGCAAAATCCGCTCTTGAGCCAGCGTGGAGCAACAGAGCCATCTACAGATCATTCACACTTCATGTGGGTTTAGGACTGGTTTTATCTTACCCAAATGATTTGTTGGGCAGGAAGGAAGGAAAGAAAAAATAAACCAAAATCAGAAAGATTCAGGATTTCTGGAAGTGTTCATCCAGTGAGAAGATTTTCAGGATGATTATAGAAAATAATAATTTCTAATCTGATTTTTATACACCTTTAAATCAGGAGCAAATCTGCCTTTGTAGTGGTGTGGTGGTTGTTGATACCAACAGAAAGTTTTGGGTTTAAAACTCCTTTTATTTTTGTTGTTCTTTTTTGGGTATGTTTGTGCTGCCTTGGCCTCATTCCCTGGTGAGTTTAGCACTTTTAGGAGTTAATTCATATTTTCAAGGTGCCCGTGTCAAATCCAACCCTCTCCTCAGGCTCTGATTTAACAATGCCAAAAGGATTTTTACTGAGGCAGCACCGAGTGCTTCATTTCTCCATCAATATCTTGCCAATTCTTCAGCCCAAACTGTTCAGCTCAACAGATTTTCTTGCTGGTGATCATTTCAAGGGGATGGTTCCTCCTGTGACCTTCTTTGTGTCCCTCTCATATTTGAATATTAATGTGCTGCTGCAGAGAATAGAATTGATTTAAGAGCTCAGAGTGGCTTTTGTATCTGCAGAGACCACAAGGAGGAGATCAATATTCTTGATATTCCCTTCTTTTGCTTATCTCTGTTATTTTTCCTTTTTTTTTCCTCTCATTCTGCAATTCAACCTTGTTTTTTTCCAAGTTTGAAGTCACGTTTGGAGGGTGTTTGTGCAAAAAAGTGTATTTTCTACAATAATGTAGAATCACATCTAAATCGCATCTCTGGTGTTATATTCACTGCCTTTAAACTGGACCAGGAAAGATTTAACCCTAATTAGTGAGTGAAATTACATTGTCATTTCAGACTTCCTAGATCATTTAGATCTGCTGCACTGTCAGCACTCAGAGATTTGGGAACAAGCCTTGCAATATTGGTTTTGCTCTCTAATCCAGCTTGTGCACAGCTTAATGCAAAACAGCAAAGACAGATACCATTAAGCAGACCAACATTCTGTGCAATTATTTCTCCTTGTGCAAGTGGATGGATGAGATGTCAGGAATAATTTCATTATTGGGCTGTACCAACAGAATGAGAGACCCCTCTTAGGCAGGGCAGGGCACTAATTGCCAATCAGCACGGTCATTAATCACGGCAATCCCAAACATCTGCATTTCACCAGCTCACAGCATCGTCTCCCTGTAATTCCACGGACACAAACCCACCACGTGCAACCTGATGGGCTTTTCTTTTTCCAACAGGATTTCCTGATGGAAACATTCATTATGTTCAAGGATCTGATTGGGAAAAACGTGTATGCAGCTGACTGGATGGTGATGAACATGATGCAGAGCAGGTACAGGGTTAAATCTGGGTTAAATCTGCCTTTGGAGCCTCCCTGGACCTGCCACTCACACAAGGCAGTTTATTTTCTTCAGCTGCTTCAGGTTGGTTTAAATCAGATTTCAGCCCGTTTTAGTTCCACTGCTGGAACTGGAAATCTCTGTCCTGCCTAGAACATCATCGAACCCTGGGGTCTTTTTTACAACTTAATCCACAGAAGCTTTTTTGGTCTCAGTTCTGAGGGAATCACATGGAAAACCTAAAGCCAGAACTGGATAATGCTTAACCCCTCTTGCAGAGAGGAAATTTTCCCCAATATCCAACCTGAGCCTCCCTGATGCAACTTGAGGCTGTTAAACCAAGGGTTAACTTTGCCTGAATATTCCCTGATTTAAAGGAATTCCTGCCTTTTTTGAGAGCATCTCTTGCTGCCTCCTGAGCTTGCACATGGAGCTGTAACCCAGAGCTGCAATGTCATTGATTTTGCTCACAGAATCGCCTTTATTTGATGTTTTTATCTCTTCAGGGTTTTCCTCCGGGCAGTGAACCAATTCACCTCCGTCCTCAACCGCTTCTTCCTGGATCAAGCTAATTTTGAACTCCAGGTGATTGTCCTGTTTTTCTGGATTTCCTTATGAATCCCAGACCTGCTAGAACAGCTAAATCCCACTGGTAGCAGGCTGTGGCTCACTGTGGGTCCCCTCCTCATGGAGGGAGCTCTGGGCAGCTTCTTTTGTGCCCGTTGTTGCTTTTCCTTTGTTATCCTCCCATTTTAATCTCCTCTCTCTCCCCCAGCTCTGGAATAATTATTTCCATTTGGCAGTGGCCTTCCTCACTCACGAGTCCCTCCAGCTGGAGACCTTCTCCCAGGCCAAACGCAACAAAATCATCAAGAAGTGAGTTCCCATTTCTGGCCCTTTTTTTGCTGTTCCAGGCACTTTCACACAACCCCGGGGTGGAAATGCTGATTAAGCCACCCTGATAAGGGAGGGACCAGGACAAGATGTCAGGGCTGTAAATTAGGGCTGCTTGAAGTTTGGGCAGGCAGATCTTGAACATCTTGCCAGGAGTCTCTCCACGGAGAGGTCGGTAGTGGAAAGGTTGTCATGATTCCCAAAATTCCCTTTTGCAATTCCTCAGCCTTTGTGGAAGGTAGGTCAGAGGAACCCTAAAAACTCTCCAGCTTTTAATCCCTCACCTTTTATTTTTCATAGGTCAGAGGAATCCTAAAAGCTCTCCAGCTTTTAATCCCCCACCTTTTATTTTTCATAGGTCAGAGGAATCCTAAAAGCTCTCCAGCTTTTAATCCCCCACCTTTTATTTTTTTCTTCTTTTCAGTGCCATTCATAGCTCCAAACCAGCAATTTTTAGTCACTGAGCAGCTTTTGCATCTTCATTTCCTTGGAGCTGGGTGCCTCTGAGCATCTTGACACAGACTTTTGTTATGATTTGTCCCATTTTTCTGCAGAAGTGGCTTGTAGAAGCCTGATAGCAAAATCTTTTTGCATTGCCTTGATATCAGAGATTAAAGCTTTAGGAAAAAAACCCCAAACCCAACCAAAGTGGGGTGGAATTGCAGGAAGCAGGAGGAGGGCTGCAGCTTTCAGGAAATCTGAATTTCCAGGAAATCCTGCTCTCAGCAGTCTGCAGTGCCCTCTCAGAGTGAGCCACGGGCACCTGTGGCTTTGCCTTTCATTCTCCAGCAGCATTCCAAGGATCATCTCAGTGCTTGGGCCTTTCTCATCTCTTCCTTTGAATTCTGTTTCCAGGTATGGGGACATGAGGAAAGAAATCGGCTTCAAAATCAGGGATATGTGGTATAACCTGGGTGAGTTCCAGCTAAAGAATTACCTTTATTCCAGCTCTCAAGCTGGCTTTCAAATCCTTTTATTTCCTTATAAAAGCTGCACGTGTTTAATGTGGGGAAATGCACTTAAACTTCAGCTGTTTCAGCACACAAAATCCTCCTTTTTCCTGTGAATAACTTGGAAAAGCTGATTTTCTCCTCACATCAGCTGCTGAGATGATTTCTTAGATTCCCTCTAAAGGATGTTCTGCCATGTAAAGGTTGAGTGGGATTTTTCAGAGAGTTTTTTTTGTGCTTTACAATTCAGCCCAATTATTTCCTTGGGCTATTCCTGAATTTTGGAGCTGTAACCTGTTAATTCTTCCTTAAGTAACATCCACATCAAATCCACATTCTGAGCAGAGTGTTTGTTGTGTGAATAATGTGCTTAAACATTGGGAAATCCAAACCCTGCCCCTGGATGGATTTGACTTTTGACTCTCAATTTCTTGCAGGTCCCCACAAAATAAAATTCATCCCAGCAATGGTGGGGCCGATCCTGGAGGTGACCCTGGTCCCAGAGCCTGAGCTGAGGAAAGCAACAATTCCCATTTTTTTTGACATGATGCAGTGTGAGTTCAACTTCAGTGGGAACGGGAACTTCCACATGGTAAGGCATGCCCTATATAATTAATATATACAATATATATAGCTATTAAATACAATATAATATGAAATACAGATATACAATATGCAAAAATCAATATCTTAATACATAATATTATATGTACAGAATTATACAGAATGTGATTGAATATTCATTATATATGACTATAAAATAATACGTATTTAAAATAATATATATATTAAAATAGTATATAATGAAATATTTAATATATTTAAATATAAACAATATAAATATATAAACAATATAAATATATACATATAGAAAATAAAAATATTATATATTTAAAATAATATATATTAAAGTAGTATATAATAAAATATTTAATATTTAAATATAAATATATATAAATCTATAAATATATAAATATTATATATTTAAAATAATATATTAAAATATATATTAAAATAGTAAATATATAGTATAGTATATATTAAAATAGTATATACTAAAATATTTAATATATTTAAATATAAATATATAAATATATAAATATATAAATACATAAATATAAAAATACAGTATATTTAAAATAATATATATTAAAATAATAATATATATATATAAATGCACTGTAATACATGTATTTGCAATAGACACACAATACTGGTATCTTCACTACAAATGTTCCATATTCTCCATCAGGCAAAATAAAAATAGAACACTTGAACAAAACAAAAAACTTCCCACCCAAAATTGTGCCAAACCCCTTGGCAAGTCCCTCTGGTCTGTAGGGTTCAGGACTTGCCAGTTCTGTCCTGCCTGAGCCTTGCCATGACTTTGTCAATCCTTGGATTCCCCTTTTTTCACCCTTCCCTGCATTAGCAGAGGTGTCAATGCTCACCTCTGAACTGGGAAGCAGTTTGGGGACCCTCAGCGGGTCTAAAATACAATTTTAGCTGTTTATTTACCTTTACAATAACAAAATCCCCCACACCAGACAGTAAGTGGCTGCAGAAAGCTGCTGGGCAGTCAAATATTGGGATTTTTTGGGCGCAGAGCGTTGCTGTGTGGGGTGGGAGGGGGGGGACTTGCATTTCCTTGCTCCAATCTTGCCAGTTTGGATTTTTTCCTCCTTTTATTCTGCCTCAGCACTGAGAGCAGCCCGGCCTCGGCTGTGGGGAGGCTCAGGAGCCCCCCAGGCTGTTCCTGTGGCAGCCCCTGGGAGCTGCTCTCTGCTTTACTGGGATTTTTGTGCCTTTCCAGTTTGAAAACGAGCTGATCACCAGGCTGGACCAGGAGGTGGAGGGGGGCCGAGGGGATGAGCAGTACAAGATCCTGCTGGAGAAACTGTGAGTTTTTATAAAGCACCTGGAGGCTCTTTTTATATATTTTTCCGCACTTTATTGGGCTGCTTTTCTAATGCAAAGAAGCCCTAATTCGTTAATTATTCCAGTGAGCAGGAAGCTGGTGCAGCTGCAGTGATCTTAGTGCTGTGCAGGTGTTCTGAGGCTGATTGCCCAAAAATGAGAGGTTTATTTGCACTTTTAACTGCCCTAACCTGGAGATGGAAATCAGAGTCGGCTGCCAAAATTTGGGAGGGGGCTGCAAATGGAAGAGCAAGCTCAAAGTTAAAGCAAAATTGGAGCTTTTAGCAGCAAAAACTCGATTTTTTTGACCAGCAAGTGCTGTCCTGCCCTGCCTGAGTTGGCAGTCTCAGGTGTGTGTGTCCAGCACCGAGTGTCCATCCGGGGAAACGGTGAAGATTTTGGGGAATTGGCAGGGAAATGCCATTTGGCAGTGCTGGGAGGCAGAGCTGAGCGTGCCCGTGTCCCTGCAGGCTGCTGGAGCACTGCAGGAAGCACAAGTACCTGTCAGCCCCGGGAGAGGTGTTTGCCCTGCTGGTCAGCAGCCTCCTGGAGAACCTGCTGGACTACAGGACCATCATGCACGATGAGAGCAAGGAGAACCGCATGAGCTGCACCGTCAACGTGCT